GGCAATGAAAAGGCTGATGCCCTTGCATGCGAAGCACGGACATCTGTTTTAAAAGTAAGAACTCCCAAGACTTGCCAAAACAAAAAAGATGTGATACGCAATCATTTCAAGGCGATCTACAAGTTTCCACGCCAAGCAGGTGTAATTCACGGACTTTCTCGTGAACAAGCGACGCTGTTGTACCGCATAAAAACCGGCTCCGCATACATCCTGGCCTGGTCATTCAAGACTGGGAGATACGCTTCTCCGTTTTGTGCCTTCTGCGGTGACATCGGGGATATTGAAAATTTTCATTTTGCTTTGCCCACAGCTTGATGTATAAAGAGCAGCGATGATAGCACCTTGCAAAAAGCCTGTCATAGGCACCGGACAATTGATGACGTCATTTTTCCTGAAAGACCCGCAGCAACTAGGAGGAACGTGCAACAAATTTTGTTCGTCTTCCTGCGAGACACTGAGCTGTCTGACACGTGTTGACAATTTCCAAATAAAGGAGATGCTCAGGTGAACTATTGCCGGCCATGCAGGCCTGACTAACCCAGCCTGCTGCTGGGTTAGTCACTTTTTCTCATAAAAAATAAGAAAAAGTTCGAGTGTTAGTGCTTACCGCCTGTCCTTTAAATCCTACCAATGAAGTTCACGCTTACTTTCAGAAACACTGAGGCGTTTGTCGTAATTTTCCAAAACAAATCGAAAAGTCCTTTTCTGAATTTTTTCTAGTAAGTTGACTAACTGTTGAGTATGAAGTTCTCAGCTGACACATGTGTACTCAAGTATCGAGCGTACGTGAGTTCATTACAGCCATTCTTTTAAGTTACTTAGTGATTGTCAATAGTTTGAACGTAGGAAGCCTATTTTGCGTGCTGACTTTCCTATTTCCTGTATATGCCCATTTTATCTTAAATTCGAAGTAAAAGCAACTCATTAGTATTTATATTCCTTAGCCCTGCGTAACATAACGTTCTTTAATTTGTACCTATATGACTTGAGTACAAAGTTTAAAAAAGGAAAAAAAATGAATAACAACCTTAATCACCTCGCTGGTTCGACTGAGTCTTATTTCTTGATTATAAATACATGAAGGATCAAACTCTACTTTTGCAAGCGAAGTAAAATGGTAACAGTGATTAATTATAGTTAGTCATATTTTTTAGATGTACGAGCATGTATTTTTTCTTATGCCTAGTATGGCGAATACTGCAGTATTACATCTGAATTAGCCAGTGAGAAGGCAGTAGAATCATAGCACTTAGGTATAACTTTTAGGTCAAGAATAAGCAACCATCGTATACAAATACAGGCGGAATATCAAACATCAAAAACAGATTATTCACAGGAAATGAGTCTGGAAAACTGGCAATGCATCACACAGCTCCTTTTTTGGAGCAAATACAATTTCGTATAATTTTCGTCATAGTCGGGCTCCAGAAGGTTGCAGTATTGTGGTATGAAAAACACTACAACATTGTAAAGGAATAATTTTATTTTAACGGGAAGAAAATATTTTAAGCGGGCTATGGCTCCTACAGCAGAAGAGAGCTTTTTTATTAGGGTACTTGACGTGATCGTTTCAACTTGGGTCTTTAGAACAATTTACCCTAATGTTCAGATTGTGTTTACAATTAGTAAATTGTCGGCACCTATGAAAATTTGTATTGGTCTTGATAATTTTTCTCCTTTTTGTGTGTGAACCATACCTTTTTATCTCGCCAGTGTTTATTCGCAAAGCGTTTGCTTTAGCCCACTGTTTAAATTATTTTATTGTTTTTGTTCCCTGACGTAGAAGTATAGTTTCCGCTGTAGCTGTATAAACATTGCTGTGTCATCCGTATAGGGGGTTTACGTAGCCTGTTTTGAATGGTTTAGCATGTCATTTACGTAGATTTAAAACATAACTGGCTCAAGGATACTCTCCGACTCCTACCTCCTGAAAAATAGACTTTTCTTAGCTCGGCATATTGTGCTCTATACGATAAGATTCGATGAACTCCACAATTAAACCACGGATACTATAGCTCATGGAATTAGTGAGTAAAATGATCTGACTCACAAGATGAAAACCTTTAAAAGAATTGATATAAATTCCCATAAATAATTGTTTATCTTTAAAAGCTAATAAGATATTGTCTTCTGGAGCTAGCAGTGCAGTCTCTGTGATGATATGTGTTGATGAAAGCTATGTTGATGATCTGCTGATAATTTTTTTTATGTCTGAAGCTATCTTAGTGTCAATTATCTTTTCACTTCTTCTCGACAATGCTAGTGGAAGCGGATAAAAATTAACTAGCGCATTTTCATCGCCTTTTTAAAAATACAGCCTGTACTTGAACTATTTCAATGTTTTTTAGGGCAGGTGATAGAATAAGTTTATTTCATTTCATTTCATTTTATTTCTTTAAAGACCCGCGAGAGGGTATTACATACGAGGCGGGTAATTTAAATACAAAACATAGAAGCCAAATATTTAACATAGAAAGTACTTATTGATATTTCCTATGAACAATGACAGGCATGGAATGGTTGCGATTTCACTGGGAAGGCCGTTCCAGTCTGGTGCGGTACGGGGAAAAAACGAGGCAGAAAAAGTAGAAGTCCGGGAACGTGGCCGAGCAACTTGAAGCAAACGGCTCGTGCGGCGAGATATGCGTGTTGCGGGAACGATATAAGATGGGGCATGCAAAGGACTATGAAAACGTTTGTGGAACAATGACAGGCTGGCAATACGACGGCGAAGTTCTAGATCTGGTAAAGCAGATTCTGCTTTCAATCCAGATTTGCTGACAGTGGAAAAGAATGAACAGTAAATAAATCTAGCGGCCCGGTTTTGAAGCGATTTGATGGCATGTGTAAGATAAGATTGTCGAGGGTCCCAAATTGGCGATGCGTATTCTAGTTTAGGTTGAATGATGGATTTGTATGCTTGTTTTTTACGTGTTGTGGAGCGAGGCGTAAATGGCATTTAAGAAAACCTAGTGTTAATTTGCAGATGAAATGATATCAGTGACGTGTATGTTCCATGAAAGATCGCTACAAATAGTGACGCCCAAATACTTGTATGATGAAGCATTCTCTAGAGCAATGGCAATAACTGCGTACGGATACACAAGCGGCATGCGGCGGCGATGAAATGAAACGACTTTACATTTACTCGGGTTAAGTTCCATGAGCCAGCGCTCACACCATTCCTGGAGGCAGTTTAGATTGGCTAGTAAGGATGACTGTTTTGAAGTGTCAGTATCAGTGTCATATATAACGCAGTCATCAGCAAACAGGCGGGTTTTACAGGTTAGGTTTGAAGGCAAGTCATTAATGTATATAAGGAATAAAAGGGGACCAAGAACCGAACCCTGGGGTACGCCGGACGTTACTGGAAGAGGATTTGAGGTACAGTTGTTGATAATAACAGAGTGGGAGCGGTTTGTAAGGAATTTTCTGACCCAATTTAGTATGTTCGGGTGAAGATTTAACTGGGAAAGATTCAGTAACAGTTGAGAATGGGGTACTTTGTCGAACGCTTTGGAAAAATATAAGAATATGGCATTGGTTTGTAAGTTGCAGTCCAGGTTAGTATGCAAATCATGAACAAATAAGGCCAGTTGCGTTTCACAAGAGAAACCTCAGCGGAACTCATGTTGTGCTGGATGGAAAAAGCTGTTTGAATCAAGAAAGTCTATGATATGCTTGTAGATGAAGTGTTGCATGATTTCACAGGGCACGCTGGTTAAAGATATGGGACGATAGTTTAATGGCAAGTTTTTGTTACCTGATTTGAAAATTGGAACGACCTTCCCGTTCTTCCAGTCATCTGGTAGGCGTTCCGTTAAATGTGACTGTGAGAAGAGCAAGCATAGAAAAGATGCACAAATATATTTGGTATTCTTAAGGAGTTTGAACTTGATTTCGTCAATACCAGAAGAGGAGGAAAGCTTTAATTTGCCGATTAAGCACATAATTATATTAGTAGTGAACGATACCGGTGGCATAGCACGTTCTATAATAGTGGGTGGTATTGTAAATGACACGTTAGTTTTTTTGGTAAACACGGATGAGAAAGCGGTGTTGAAGATGCATTGATCATCGGTGAATACGTGACCAGATTCACTGGTAAAAGTAATTGGGGCAGTATGCGTGGGTTCAAAACCGGCAAAATTTTTTTTTTGGTTGTTAGTCAGCATGCTTGGTTAGTCAACGTTGAAAAAATAATTCTTTGTCTTGAACTGCGCATAAATAAGCTTTTCTAGCTGCGTAGTATTTCTGCCACTTTTGCCAGTCTTCTAGTCTTTTTGCTAATCTAAACAGGCATTTTTTTATAAACGAGAGTAAGAACAGACAAATAATGTAGATTACATGCTTTACAGGTCATATTTGAAAATTGTAAGCGTTCTGCGACCTATTATTTTTTGCTGAACCTATGGAAGACAAAACTTAAGCGCACTTCATGGGACTGAAGAGAAATAAATTGGCACTAATGTTGTGAGTTGCGAAATGACCTCTTTAACACAGTCGCGTTAATAATTATGTTGGGGTTCAATCTTGGAACTATTCCCGGCTAGCAAACGATCGCAACCAGTTCGTCAGTACACTTGCAGAACCAGTTGCAACACAGCTCTTCTCGGCCAGTTACTCTCCGCTGCCCCATCACTCCAAAAACTGTGTGGATTTCATGCTATGAGACTAGCAGACACTGGTGTTTGCGATATGCATGGCAGGTGCTTATGCTTTCATGAATATAGTAGTCTTTTTATCAATGTTAACAAGGAAAATAAGCGATATATTTTCACGTCGTGGACAAAAAATTCGCACGGAACATTTTTGTGTTATTTTCTAGGCCACGCTACCATTCTTGGACACCTTGATCGCCTTCCTGACTTCCCCTATGCTTTCGCAGTCATAATACTGATGCAACTGAAATGACTGTGAAGGACAACCTTTCTAAGCTTTGCTAACTGCTTCGGTGAGTGAGAAGTCGAAAAATGAGTCGACGGAAGCTTGTGCAACAGAAGCCTGGCTATGGAGGTAACAAAGCTGCGTAGCGGGTGGTACAGTGATCTTTACTACTTTATTAAGTGATGCAGTTTTTTCTGCCATTTGTGACTCACGTGCCAGAAAGGACCTTGATCAGCTACGTAATGCTTCATTTATTTAGACGTGGTCGCATATTGCATTTATCGTTATAAGTGATGTAGACTCTGTTCACGCAGAACCATGCCGGCTCATATGCTCAATCAGGAACTTGCGTGGCTACAAGTGCGCTTTGGGTGCATAGGAGTGCCCCGCCTGCAGTAAAAAGCGCGTGCGAAGCGAACGTTGTCTTTCAGGGGAAGATTGCACTCGGCCTCACTGTGCTCTTTCCCGCACAGTAGCAGACATCCCACGACGAAGAAAAGCTGAATCTCTGAGAGGGACTGTATAGTCGCAGAAGGGCTGCTGCTTCCCGTCATGAGGTCCTCCAGGACTGGCCACAGCACACCGGAGGCAAGTATTGACACCAGCACGTCGTCTCTGGCATCTTGCAACCGTTCCGCGTCTTCTCCCTCACGGTCGACGACGCATTTCCAAAGAACCTCCGAGCTTTTCTTCAGCCCTAGGCACAATTCTTTTGAAGAAAACAATTCTCGGAAGATTTGCACAGCAACGCGAGATCCTAGACCCGCAAGTTTGACGGTGCGTGGTGCGTCAAGTGCGTACCAGGGTACATCTAGGTAGGCTGGCTTTATCGGATATTGATCGATCTGCACGTTTTGGCCATGTACAAGCTCACCGGCAGGCAACAGGTAGTTGAATGCAGAGGGTGCCGCACTTGCCGTCTCTATCCAATTGATGAGTGGGTCGTTAGTCATGTCTGGAAATGATGCGTATGCTTGTGCCGTATAACTCGTATTGTACTTCGCAAGTTCACCTAGAAACATGTCTTTGGAGTGGCTATGCGGGTGACACTCACCGAAAAAAAGCCAGCCTGCCGTTAGGGTGTCGGCAGTAGAGGTCAGTATGCGCGTGACAATCGAGGTGACATCATCGAGGAGTGGTGTGTAAGTCATGCCCAAGGCAATGGCCGACTGAAAGGCATAGTGCATAATTTTGTCAGTCTGATCGTAGCACAGTGTTCGGTGTTTGCTCTCGAACGCGGGTGAGGCGTAATAACTCGACACGATCTTTCGGTTGGTAAAAGGAAAAAGTGCTCGCACACACAACCAGCCGAACAAGTCCATTGTCTGGGCATCCCCAAACCTTCTGTAGTGGGCGAATACGGCCCAGAAGTAGTCTCGGTTCTCGATTGCCACGGGCACATATTGGTGGCTGGAAATTTTCCAGTATTTGTAAAATGCCACTTGCCAGCGCTGCTTTGAGCTCATTTTGGCCCAGTGGTGAATATCTGAAGTGGTAGCAGAGGAGCTCTTAGTGTTTGCCAGAGCTGCACTTAAAGAGGCCACGAGGCAGTTCTCTTGGTCGACGAGAACTGCGAAGCGTCTGTTGGCACCAGCGCTGCCAGTGGACGAGAAGGCTGCGTACAGGGTCCAGAAGAACTTCTTCGCTGTCACCTTTGTTGTTTCTCGTTCGAGTCTTCCTGCGGCTAGAAATGTCGGCATCGCAGAAGAAATTGAAATGGTCTTGGATTCACCACTCCCTTGAAGTGACATACGGAGCAGAATTGGCACTCGTGCAATGAGAGACATGTAGAACATTGAATCTAAGACGTCGGGGTTTGTCTCAGCGTCAGGCCAAACAATGCCACCGTTAATGAGCAACCGCTTGACGTCGTCAAGGTGGTCTTCAGCACCAGAAACAACACCATCGCATGCACTGAAGTATCGGACCGCCTTCTCCTCAGCCGTCTGATGGACGTAAGGAACCGGAACGCTTCTAGCTCGATGCGCGACGTTCTCTATGAAGGCTTCGCGCGTATATTCGGCCATGGTGAGTGAACGGGCCATGCGACTCCACCCGCCACACACGTAATCGTGGAAGTCGACACAGGGCTTGGCGCTGGCGTTCGCGGCTTCTGAGATGAGTGCCGCAAGTCTGCTGCAGGCTGCGTTGTTGCAGAGCGAAGACGGTAATGCAGCCTCGATGTGGCTGGTCTGGCTGCCTACGAATAGTGTGACTGTGACGAGCCCTGACAAAAGAAGCAGCCGTGACTTGGTCCCACCTATCATCATGGTCGATCTTTCTAGAGTTGTTATCCTTTTTGTCGTTTCTGAGAGCGTTCACAGAGCACCTGTAATGACGCAGATTCACGTTGAAAAGATCCACAACGCGGTGAGCCATCAAGGACACAAAGTACTACATGACGATGTAAATCAAATGAGTGTCGTACGCTCACTCAACACACGTGCTGTGGCGGCTATTCGACCTTCAAGACGTACCAAGCGCCAGTTGAGGGTTTGTTGACTGAAGATTGTCTTTTTAGAGGAATCGTATTGAGTGACTTGCTGCAATTGCGGAATGCAGGTACTTAACAGCGGTACACATTTCGCGTTCTCCTGATGACACCTGACATTATAAATGGTATCGCGTTGATTCCCGAAACACCTGGCATAATCTACTTGGCAACAGCCGACTGTTTTCTTTCTCAAAAGTGAAATCATCCGTCAACGGCTACAACCGTTAGACTCCTAGTGCCTTAAAAGAAACTTTTCCTTGCGCCTTTGAGGACCTTCGTAAATACGTCTACCGTGAAGCCTGTGACTCTTAGGAAAGCCCTTGAAAAAAGTGTACTGACGATCAAGGCATCTACGCTAAAAGCAATTGTGCCATTTTAACGTTATTCGTATGAAAACTATTTTGGCTTAGCATTTCCTGATATTATTTTCCCAATATTTCCAACACAAAACTTGTACAAATCCTGCTCACAAAAACGTAAAGGGTTCCAAGCTAAATAAGGTAGCGACAGCGCATGCATTTTTTGTCTTGTTACTGATCAAGTATTTTCTCAGTTTTCGTATGATCTTTTTCCCCCTTTTTGTTGTAAACTCTGAACTCTTCCCCTCCCGATACGTTCTAAACGTGAAGGCCAAAGGGCAAGGCGGCTGAGTGCTTCTATCTACTTACCACTTGTATGGTCAGAATGGCTACCGGCAGTAGCACACAAACCTGGTCGTCATGCAATATGTTTGCTCGCTAGTGGCGTCAGATTACGGCGCGATTTGATGATTAAGTTCCTCTCACATGTATAGCACTTGCCCACAAAGGGAGATCAGCCAAGAACCATCCGGCAGGATCTTTAAGCTTTTGATGATATTGATAATGGCTTAAAAGCATGGCTGACACCCACTCTGGAAAGATTCCTAATCGAATGAAGGTGGGTTTTATTTCAAATCTCTCAATTAGTGAGCTTTCTTTTTTTCTGACTATTTAGAATTCCTTAGATTTACAAGTATATGTGATCCCCTCTGTTGATATTTACTCGTTTCCTTAAGCTTTTATTGCCATGCCCCGCCGCGGTGGTCTAGTGGCTAAGGTACTCGGCTGCTGACCCGCAGGTCGCGGGTTCGATTGCCGGCTGCGGTGGCTGCATTTCCGATGGAGGCGGAAATGTTGTAGGCCCGTGTACTCAGATTTGAGTGCACGTTAAAGAACCCGAGGTGGTCAAAATTTCCGGAGCCCTCCACTACGGCGTCTCTCATAATCAAATGGTGGTTTTGGTACGTTAAACCCCACAAATCATTTTCTTGCCGTGTTTTTGCTTTTATCGATGTTGGAAACAGCAGTACGTATGCACTAAAGAGTAGAGCACACGTCTGGCGGTTTGCGCACAAATAATGCCAGTGGAAAAGGAACTACATCATGATATCTGAAGCGCGGAAACTTGGCCATGTTGGTAGGACATATCTGAATATACGAACAGTGCAACTTAAAAGTAGTTGCAGTGTAAATATGCAGCAAAAATAGACAATAGAAAAGAGTGCTGTTTTTCATTCTTGTATTTTTCAGCAAATGTGAAGTCTGTGAGAAAAATCATGAAAGCCGCTTTAGCCTGCTGCCCTGCGTTCAAGTTCTTTATTGATACAAGCTCTTATCAGCACATGAAAACACACAACACTTGTTAGACTTGTTCTCAAGATGGCGCACAATTAAGAGTGTCGCATCCAGATATGATGTGGCAGTGGTATGTACGGCTCTCAAGAAGCTGGGAAGCACTTGCAAACTTTTTAGGCTCGGGGCCAAAGGCAAAACCAAAAATAAAGGTGAATGTGGTCAGAAACATCGAAGCTCCTCTATTCCTTGTGTTACAGGAGTAGTGTACAAGATTCCTCAGTCATGCGCCAACAGTTATATTGGTCAGACTGGTAGGTGCATGTTAGATTACGGGGGCACCAGAACAAATACGAAAAGAATATCCGAATACTAACTTGTTTGCTTATTGAACACAGTGTCACTTAAATCTACTGTTTAACAACATCAGTGGTGCAACAGCCGAAATACAACTTGGAGCTATTTCAGGCGCAGCAAAATATTACCTTCGAAGCACTAAAATGTAAATTTCGAGCAGGTTACACGGAAAAATGCAATTTTCATCCCTAGATACCAAATTTGGAGCAGTATAAAAAATAAGGCGCACATTTAGAAAGAAAATATGTATAAACCATTCGACATCACCTAAACTGTGCAGTGTAAACATGAGCACTGCTACTTCAATGAAAGTGGTATTTTGAACCACCCCACTGAGCCAACAATGATAAAGTCCATATTAGCATTTGCTGTGCCTGTGAAATCATTTGAGGGACTCTGCGATTTTAAATATGCATCTGCCAACCTTGCGACCATTAAATTTGGGAGATTCCTGAAACCGAAGAGTACAGGTGGTGAAAAAAAAAACAAAAAAACTGGTGCAAAATTTTAGTTTGCTTTTTTAGGGAAGAAGTGTCATACGCAGCTCCAAATTATTTCCAGTAGCATATTTAGACATCAGTGCTAACACTGATACTCATAATTAGGCAGCGTACAAACGCATGAGTAAGTGAACATTATGTGCAGTGTCCCATGACTAGGGATAACAGTCCCTTCCAAATCTCAATACGCTTTTTTGCAAAGCATCAGT